CTCTCTCTCTCTCTCTCTCTCTCTCTCTCTCTCTCTCTCTCTCTCTCATCCTCTCCCTCTCCCTTCCCTCCCCCATTGTTGTTGTTATTGTTGTCGTTGTTGTTATTAATGGCAGCTAAAGATACACAGATTACTGTTAAATTGAAGACTTTAAAAAGATATTTTCATGGATTATTTGGAACATCCCAACCTGTTATTTTTTACCAGAAGAAATATGTGTGGAGCCGGTGCTGTCCTCTCACTGGGTTCACCATGACTTTCCAGGACTGACCAAGTGTCAGTGTCTGCCAAGCTTAAGACTTTGCAAATGCTGAATTTCTATCAGTGTTCTTTATTAAATCTCAGATGACACCTACAATCTCCATGGAAGAGATTTGAGTTTGAAATATTTTATATTTACAGCAAAGCCCCACTTCCTTGGAGAACAAGCACGAAGCTTGATGTCTTTCCCTTTTGTCTCAACTGGAATGAACGAACGCACGCCGTGTCAGTCTCACTGCACGCGTCTCCTCCATTCATTTATTCTGCCAACTATTTAATTTTTTTATTGTAAAGTAGTTTTTAGTATTTGCTTTTATTTTTTTACGTTGATGCCTTTATAAATTGGCATGTCCTTGAAGTTTTTTTTCTCCTAATTGTGTGTGTGTGTGTGTGTGTGTGTGTGTGATATTAATTTTATCAAGTGAAACCAAGCCATATTGTTTGAGCCAATTAAGAAAATGGCAGTTTTTACAGTGTATCATGTCAGGTGGTAAAGTCCCATGAAATGACTTAGTGTATTCTAGACTACTGAAAGGAACCACGGGAAAGGTTGGGTGGAAGCTTTTGTGTTGTCTGAAGAGCAAGAGAGAAGGCAGGAGACTGGGATAGTGAAGGGAAGGGAAGGGAAGGGAAGAGTAGCTTGTCTAAAGTAAATTGGCCGGCTGAACCAGAGGAGCAGAGATAGGAGCAGCCTGAGCTGAGGGTATGTAGGAAGTTGTAGAGGGCCAGAGGGAATGTGAACTGTGTTTGCTTTGGTTTCTCATACCTGCAAACGCTAAATTTGAAAAGAAGCTGTGCAGTGTGTTGGAAATGTGACCACATTAGGTGAATTCTGGTTGGTTTTCTTCATTTATAAAAGCTCATGATTCTTCACTGCAAAATGTTTGCATTAAAAATGGGGTCATGCTCTTTAAAGGGGGGGGAGAGCCCCCATGTCAGCCCAGGGTCATAATGGCGATCAGTTCAAGTCATTGTTAACCATTATGTGAAATATATCTCCAGTGGAAATGAAAATTGGAAAAGGCTGTAAATAGATCAATCAAATAAATGATTTCTTTGTATAAATGAATTATACAATTAAAGAAAAGCACACACATAATAATCCAGAACATTTCTCTCCTGGTGGTTATTTGGGGGGCCATCTACTGGGACATGGGGGCTTAACTAAACCTTTAATGGTTAAGGAAATTCCAAATAATTTACCCTTTTGAGATGTTTTTTGATGAGTAAGAAAAGTCCATAGTTTAATTCTTATGAGTCATGTGATCTTTTAAGAACATAGTGTAATCAGAAGTCATCATTGTATTGCAGACAGCTGACCATATATATCGCTGTCTTCTGGATGCATTAGTAAAGCAAATAGCAGACATCTTCATTAACGTGGTTAAATCCAGATTCTGAGGTAGGTATCTCAGCCTCCTCACTTTGGAAATTCAAATTCAGAAGTATGCTTTGCCTAGTGTGGTGATCTGCAACACCAGAAAGCAAGACAGTGGCCCTGTCTAGGGTTATCACGTGGAGTTTAATTTCTCTCAGAGTGGCTTTGTTCAGCTTCCAGAGTTACAGGAGCAAGTGGTTCAGATGTGGTGATGGAATGAGGTTTGCTTTGAAGGTTTCTTGCTTGGTTTCTCTCGGGGGAGAAAATAAACAGTCGTGATGTGAGATGAAGATTCTTAAGGAGCAGCATTTCCGTTGGACATCACTCAGTGACATACATAGTCAGACTTGCTTGGGCATCACTGTCAGTTAGTGATGCTTTAAAAAGTAAAAGTGCCTGGGCCTCATTCACACCGTCTCACTGTATCCAGATGTTGGAAGGAAACAGAGCTGACCATGAATTTTTATGATTGTATAAGGCCACTTTATTTAAGTGTACATATTGGTTTTCTGAGACACTTTATCCCTGGCTGGTTAAGAACTCACTCTGTAGCCCATACTGCTTTCAAGTTCATGATGGGTCCTCTTGCCTCTACATCCCAAGTGTTGGGGTTACCGGTGTGTGCCACCACACCCAGCTCACACTTAGTGCCTGCTTAACTCTAGTAAAAGTCATGGACCCTTCCTCCAGGAAGAAGTGGAGCCATACATACACATCCATACACCTTAAGACCCTTAGGCATTCTCCAAAATCCCTCTGAACTCAAGTTCAGATCTGCCGTGTCTGTCCAGTAGGGCCCTGCAACCTAGAATCTGAGTCTTGTCAAAATGTCCTACCTCTGCTTTTAAGAAGATAGGTTTGGGTGGGGGTGGGGGGGGTTGATAAATGTGAGTCTGAAGAGAGCCTAATTCTCTCCCTGGCCCTGATGAGCCACAGTCTGGTACCTTCCAAGAGCAGTAACTGTCATGGAGAACAGGAACTGATGTAAAAGATCTTGAAACAACCAAGTAACAGGATAAACTTACAATGAATTGTAACATTTCAAAGCCCATAGCTTCATGAGTCTTTTTAAAAATGAAATTCGGGCCAAGGAAATGGCCCAGTGGGTAGAGAGGCACCTGCCCCCAAGCCTAATAACCTGATGGTTGTGATGGAGGCCTTGGGCCTTGTGATGGAAGAGAGAACCGACTCCCACAAGTTGTCCTTTGATCTCCACACATGCATGCACACATACATACATGCATGCATGCATACATACAAAAAGATCTGTTTTAGTTAAATGTTTTATTCCTTAGGAATATTTCAATGGACTGATGTATTTGTTTCCTGTTTAGTGAAAGAAAATAACCAAGTATCTCTCCTGCTTTTCCTATGCAAGCTATTACTCAGGCTAACCAGTGGGTAAGGAAGGTTTTGCACAGCAGGAACCTATCTTGGTAAGTGAAGAAGTAATATATCACCATCTAGTAACCTTCATGGATAATGGACCTCAGTGTCGCTCATGAAGGACATGACACAGGTAAACGGGGGCCTCTGAATCTGAGGCAGGCCTGCTGACTAAGCCTGCGTTGAGTCCCAAGAAAGCTAAAACAAAGTTTCTTCAACAAAACAGAGAGATGGAGGTGGGTAGGTAAGAGGGACATGGGCAGGAAATGGAAGACTTCAGACCCGTCAAACAGTTACAGTGCATTAACCCCATCTGGAGCTAAATCAAATTCTTGAAACCGAGGGCTTTTGTTAAGGCCCTGCGCTCTCCCATTTGGCTGGCTCGAGAGTCTTTCATTATCAGTCTACAAGCCTGGTAAGGTAAGGTTTCCAGGTCCCATTACAGACTGGCCACTGGTGGACACCAAACTGAAGATTCAGGCCCCAGAGTTCTGCTGCCTGTCTCCCCTCCAGACCCTGTCCTCTCCACAGCCAGTCATGCTGTGTAGTCTTTGCCAACTTTCCCTTCCTTTGTGGGGTCTCCTCCCTACCCTACTCTGTGGTATCCAAATAGACAACCAACAAATGCCTTACTAAGTGAGTCCCATCCTAGGCACATGCCCTAGAGAACAAGCATACTTCCTACCTCTGCTGTCACCACCTAGGACTCGGTGATTGGCTTCCTAAGCCACTGCTGCTTTCTCTTCTGTCTCCCTCAGTCCCCCGTTGTTGAGATTTCACAACTACTCTTCCATCCTGTGTTCCCCAACTCCTGTGTCTCAACTCGCCAGCTACCCCCAAGTGGTAACCTAACATGCCTTCCATGCCCGAAGCTTACACCTTCCAAAGCCAGTCCCTGGGATGTCATCTCCCAGGAGCCTTGCTTCGTTCTGAAAACCATCCTTGTCTTTCATTCCTGCATACTCTCTGAGTTCTCCTTCAGCACCTTTTCTTAGCCCCTTTTATGAACTTATCTCCTGGTATTCATACGCTGAAAGTTAATGGCCAGTTTGTTAGCATTAAGAGGAAAAAAAAGCCTTTACAAGGTGAGTCAGGTCATTACTTAAAAGCTTGTGGGCCAGTGAGCTGGCTCTGTTGGCAAAGGCTCCTACTGCCAAGTTTAATGACCTGAATTTGATCCCTGAGACCAACTCCCACAAGGGATACCTGCATTTATATCTTTAATGCCCATGTAAATAAGCCAGGCGTGGTGTACAATGATTGAGTACTGGGGAGGACACGGGAAGATCCATGATAGGCCTACCCTATCTGGTGATCCATGGGTCCCAGGAAGGTTTCTACTTTGTAAAGAGGTGAACCGTTCCTGAGAGACAGTGCTGGAAGATGGCTCTGGCCTACACACAGACATGCACACACAGTATAGGGAATTTCCACACACTCCTGTCCACACATAGGCACAGGCTCCTTGGGCACCATGGAAATATGTTTGCTTTCACTCTCCGATAGATCTTATTTCATCACTACCTAGAGGCCATGGTTTACAGGAGAGTCTACTCAGTGAAGAGTGTTGCCAAATTCAAGAATCACGTAGAACACTTCCACTGTCCCATGACTCCCGCTTCTCTGTTTGGTCCCCTTCCCTTCCAAAACCATCACTAATCTATTGCCTCCATAGTTTTGCCTCTTCTTCTATGTGATACATTCGAAGTTTATCAGTAATCTTTTCCAGTTGGCTTTGGTCTGCTGCTATCACGCAATTCATGCTTCTGGGTGCGCTTCTTTCCCTGCTACATCATTTCTTTTTAGTGCTTGATAATATTGTCTAGATGGCCTTGGCTTATACATTTACTTAATTTCCTTACATGGCAAGAGAGACAAGTGAACAAAACAACTCCTTCCAACTCTATGCTCCTTCCAACTCTGTGTGTGTGTGTGTGTGTGTGTGTGTGTGTGT